TTCCCATTCCCTTTCCCCCACCCTTCCCACTTTCCCTATACCTTTAGCCCTTTTCTTCCTATTTCACATTGTCAATTATCTCATTAGGATCTTATGTACTATTATAGTTTTTCACACCAGAGAAACTATTTGGTATTTATACATGTGTGACTTATTTATTTCACTTAGGAGTATATCCTCAATATGTATCCATCTTCCTATGAATGAATCTAATTTCTCATTCTTTATGGCTGAGTAATATTCCATTTTATAGAAAAACCACATCTTCTTTATCCAGTTTCCAACTGAGGGGCAAATGGGCTGTTTCCAAGTTTTAGCTATTACAAACTGTGCCGCTATAAACATGGGTGCACAGATATCACTGTGGTATGATTCCTTTAATTCTTTTGGAAGGATACCCAGGAGAGGGCTGGCTGGGTCAAATGGAACCTCCAGTCCAAGCTCTTTGAGGTATCTCCGTACTGATTTCCACAGTGGTTGCACCAGTCTGCACTCCCACCAATAATGGAGAAGGGTTCCTTTCTCCCCACAACTCCCACCAACATTTGTTATTGTTTGATTTCTTGATAGCAGCCATTGTTTGTGGGGTGAGGTGGAATCTCAGTGTTGTTTTCATCTGCATCTCTTGAATGACCAGTGATGTGGAACGTTTTTCCATGCTAATCTTCTCTGTATCGTTCCAATTTTAGTATACGTGCTGCTGAAGCAAGCACATTTCCCCACATTTTGAGATGGGAAAGTGGACAAGGTGAGCCAGAACTGGCAAGACTGGCAGGTATGGGTGGAAACTCAAAGCTGGGATGTCAATGATCCCACAATATCCGAGGCCCTACACCAGCAAGATCTGACCTGCCCCCCTGCTGGGGTGACTGAACGTATGCACACACTTCTCTTGCAGTCACGCTAAGAACGTGGACAAGCTACCCTGGAGGAAGCACCAAAGTTTGCATGAAAAACAAGAGCATGGAGTCCCCTTACCCTTGGGGATCAGATCTGTGCTCCTCAGTGGATGCTTCACCCTCAGTACTGACCCTGTATCCCTGTACATGATGCACTTGCACTTTTCACTTAGAGGCAGTGTTTTGCTACCTGTCTTGGCACCTGAATCTCCCGCACGGGCACCTGGTGCTCTGGGGCCACCGGAAACACTAGCTCTGTGCACAGCTACACATCTGATAACCTAGCCGGCTGCCACATGGCTGGGGGTGGGGTGGGGCATAGAGCACATGGCCTCGATCTGAGGGACAAAGGGACATTTCCTGCCCTGCGCCCGAGTAGATTTCATCACACTATTCTGAATGGAGCAGTTTAAAGCCTGAGAATTAGTCACTGCTAGAATTTTCCATTTAATATTTACAGAGCCTGTTTGGCTGCAGGCAATTGAAATCACAGAAAGTGAAACCAAGGAGGGAAGAGAGGAGACCACTGAACCTCTAGCAGACCCAGGAACCTCTGAACTCGGAAGGCAGCCAGCTGAGTCAGGACTGAGAGTTATCTAGCAAAATGAAGCAGAGCTGTGCATAAGGGTCGTGGTTAAAAGGAGGTCTTAGACTCCACTTGGTACATTATTTTACGTAATGTACTGCTAACCTTTGCCAAATTTCACAAGCGACTTTAATTTCTGATCTCCACGCTGGGGCAAATGGACCCAAGCCCCCACCTCCACCCCCGCCCTGAAATGCCTCTTGTGGGTGTGACTCCAGTGGTTTTTTTTTTTGAAAACACCAGCTCTGAAGAGCACAGATTAGACTGGTGGCTGTTTTTGTCTGACCTAGAAAATGATTAACTGATTCCCTCTTTCCTAAAACACTTTTATTGGAGAAGAAAGGTCACAGGGCTGGTGAAAGTCACAGAATGTATTTTAAAGAGAGTTCATTCATTTGCTGGGTGTACTTGCAGCAGGGCAAAAACCGGAAACACACACACACACACACACACACACACACACACACAGGCCAGCAGTGAAACTGGGGCGGGGGAGGGACATGGCCACGGGGCTGTGGCTCCTGGAAAGGTTCCAGCAGGTGACAGCCAGGCTGGGACCAGCCAGGGAGCTGCTGCTCCAAGGAGGGGCTGACCAGGACCTCCCCCAGCCTCAGGACACAGCGGCCAATGGGGACAGGCAAGGCGAAGGAACACCAAATTAGGCAAGTGGCAGAGCTGGCCCAGGGCCCTCCAGGAAGCCACCCCTCCCCCAGAGGAAGGGCAGGGCAGGGCATGTTTGTAAACATGTCAGCCCCACCCTGTGAAGAAACTTTAACTGAAAAGTGCCTTGGCCAGCAAAACCTCAAGGGCTGTGAGGTTTCTAAACACTCAATTGAATTCCTCAGGCCTAAGATAAACGATGTCAACAGATGGCCTCTGCTGTGACTCTGCATTAAAAGCCCAGGCCTAAGAGGCAGGCCCAAGCCACTACTTGCATCAGGTGACCAACAAACCGGACCCCACGTGGGGCATGCAAAAAGGACCATGTGGTGAGCACCATGAAGGGGACACAGGCCAGCCTCCAGCTCCAGCAAGAAAGATAGGACCCTGGACCCTGATCAGAAAGGAGGACTTCGGGCCTCTGCAACCCTGTCCCTTCTGACAGAAGCACCCTTCAGCCCACAGCTCCGCTACAACACCTTCTTCACTAGCAGCTATTTTTCTCTGGGCTATGGCTGGAAAACATTCCTTTTTCCCTAAGATCTCCATGTCTAGGCCCAAACACTTCTCTTTCCGAATCTGCTTCTCTGCGGCCTGGCTGGATCACCCATGCTGGGCTATGGCTAAGGTGGAGGTGGGGGCCCAGCCCAGACAGCCCAGCCCCTCAGCTGTGCCGGGAATGGAAGGTCTTTGCTGCTCAGGACACCTCAAAAACAGGAGGCAGCCAGCCCAGCTCCTGGCAGCTTGAGACATGGCCTGGCTTTCACTCCAACAGTTGCTTTCAGGGCACAGTGGATAAAGCTTTAAGGACACATCAGGCTTATGGGCTTCACTGAGATACATGTCACGTTCAGCACAAATCACCCATGGAGTGCGTGTACCTCAGTGGTGCTCAGTGTACTTGCTAGGTGTGTACCATCACTGCTGTCAGACACCAGAACATCTTCGCCACCCCAGGAGAATCCCACCCTGTAGTCACAAACCACCACAGTCTTCACCTTCTCGTCCGGGGGCCATGAACCTGGCTCCTGTCAGTGGCTGCCTGGCCCCAGGTGCTGCTCCAAAAGGGTCATACACTGCATGGCCTCCACGCTGGCTCCTCTAACGGGCAGTGCATTTTCCTGGCCAGGCCACCTGGACCAGGGATGAGTCCCTCACAGCTTTCTGTGGCTAGTGACTGCCTGTCCTACGCACAGGCCATCCCTCAACCCTCAAGGCTGACACTGCAATGTCTCTGCTTTGGGGATATTACAAATGGTGCTGTCACGAACACGTGGGCTACTGCATGGATGGATGACAGCAAGCTGCAGGATCTCAGGGGAATCCTTGTCTTCTCCTCCTAGGTTAAACTATCTTCCACACTGGATGCCTCACTGTGCCACACGGCATTTTCTTAGCTGTGCGTGAATTATACTGCAGAAAAGAACACAGGTGCATTACCAGGCACTGGCACACAGTGAGCTGGGGTGGGGGAGTAGGGTCTTGCCCATGCCAGACATCTGGAAGACACCTGTTCACACAGAACTTGGGTCTTAGGATAGGGCTACTTCAGGAATGTGAATGAAGTTTAGAAAACCAGAGTCTCATAAAGCTGTGAAGATTAAGAAATAACAAAAGGATTGGGCATGATGGCACATGCCCATAATCCCAGCATTCTATGAGGCTGAGGCAGGAGGATCTTACGTTTCAGCCCAGCCTGGGCAACTCAGTAACTTAGCAAAACCCTGTCTCAAAATAAAAAGGGCTTGGAATGTAGCTCAGAGCGAAGGACCTGGGTTTCATTCCCAGTAATGAGGGAAGCTGTTTTTGATGAGAGGAAGCCAGTTTCTCACAGGTCAAACACAGCCACCCCCACACATACAGGTGCACACAGGAAAACTAAAGTCAGTGTAATACTGAGCACAGCCAAACTGGGGATGGGAGCCACCCCTGTAGCAATACACAAGGGTGAACCTCAGTATGATTCCATGCCCAAAGCTCGAGAGGAGTCACCTGTGGGGAACATTCTGCGCAACAAACACAGAGGGACTCGCTTTTGGGGCTAGAAGACAGCACCACCCTGCCTCTGCTGCAAAGCAGTTCTCAGAGCATGAAGTGAAGCACCCCTGGAAACCCGAGACCCCGCAGTGGAATGTCAGGCTCAAGCCACCATCATAACGGTACCAGACATGGCCTCCCAGCCTGCACTATGTCCTTGACAATGCACCAGAGGTGGTGGAAGCAGCAGGGGCCATGGCAGGAGCTATGGCCTTACACCCAAACACATGAGGGCCATCTTCTGGGACACATGGGTGCACATGTGAGAGAACAGCCCATTTCATTAAAAAGTGGCTGTGATGATTGGGCAGGCACCACACCTGCCTTACAAGCGCAAGGTCCTAAACTTGATCCCCAGTACCCCCCACCATACACAAAAAGTGGCTATGATGATCAAGAGTGACAGCACATATCTGTAATTCTTCCTCTGAGGCTGAGGCAGGAGAATCATAAACCTGAGCCCAACCTGGGCAACTTAGCAACTTAGACAGACCTGCTTCAAAGTTTTAAAAAAGGGCCTGGGGATATAACTCAGTGCTAGGGCCCTGGATTCAATCCCCAGAATCTCAAAAGTAAAGAAAAGAGGAAAAACAAGTTCACCAGATCCTAGTATGTAAACATTACTTTAAAATGTTTTTAAGGTGTAGGAGAGAGAGAGAGAGAGAGAGAGAGAGAGAGAGAGAGAGAGACTCCTGTGCTGGTGTTATCAGGTTCTTCTATCTAAAACTTCCACCTGGAGGCAGGGGGAAGCAGTGATAAATATTTTGAGTACAGAGGGTGAATCCACCAGGGTCCCGGTTTGGCAGGCAGCCGCTTACCTGATGGTGCCAGTTGGGGAGGGGATGGGGCTGACCAGGCTCCGGAGATCCGGCTCCGGAATGTGGATCTTCAGCGGGGAGATCTGGGGGTAGAGTGGCCGGAGAGGAGACGCTGGAGCCTCTTCTTTATGGTACAGGGATGTGAACTGGATCTTGATGGCTGTGCTGGGGAACCGGAAGGTACACCTGCAAAGGAGAGAGGGTCAGGTGCAGGGAAGCAGGGGAAGGACACTGGGTTTCAAGAGGGAGAGCTCTGGTCAACGTAGGCTGGAGGGACAGGACTCGCAGCTCACTGTGACTCGTGGGGCTGAGCCTCAGCCACTCCATGCCTCTGCTAGGTTGATTCCCACACAGCTTCTCCATGCCCACACAGCAGCTGCACTCTGTGAGAGGTGCAGAAGAGGGATAAATACACAAGCTGCAGTGTGGTCCATCTCCCTCACAGCTCCCGGATGTCCACTGGGCAGCTGCTGTGTGCCCCGACATGTCTATGAATGGGCATGGTATTTCTGCAGAGATGCTATGCTATGTGGACAATGAAAGCAAATGCTACTTGATACAGGTAGTGATGTCACCTGAAAACACGTCAGAAAGGAGTCCTAGAGAGCAGTTACAAACCCAGAGCTTAACACCAGTTTCCCAGTTAGCTCTGAGCTTAAAGACCTTGAGCCTGCTTTTCCTACTAGACATGGCCAAGTGCTGACAGGTCCAACTCCACAGCTGTGGAGGCATCTGACACAAGGCTGCGTGAGGGATCAGAGGATGGCAGATGCTGTTCAAGGCTCCATCTCTGAGAACAAGCCTATCTTGCATACCACCTCATTTCCACACTGAGAAATCACAAATCAACGACTTGCTAACTGCACATCAGGAAAAGAATACAACAAAAACGAAACAAATTAAATCAGGCTGCCCACAGAGTAGGACAATCCAAGTTGCTCATGACCACTACTGTGTGGAAAGTGGGCAGGGAGTATAGGAAAGCACAGAAGCCCAGCGATAACAACACACTTCTGGCTCTTCAAAGAGCCCTCCACTTGAGAGACACCCAGCCTCTGTGGAACAGCTGCCGGGACCTGGGGGCAGCTGTGTCTGTTCCTGACTGCCTTCTGCCCCATAGCAGTGTGGACAGCGCTACCTCAAACCTTGCAAACTCAGATGTGAACAAAATGTTCCTTCATTCTAAGAGTATCCTGCTCTTACAAGTCAGTTGTTTTTTTTGTTTTTTTGTGTACCGGGGATTGAACCCGGGTCCTTGTGCTTGCAAGGTCCTGACTGCCTTCTGCCCCATAGCAGTGTGGACAGCGCTACCTCAAACCTTGCAAACTCAGATGCGAACAAAATGTTCCTTCATTCTAAGAGTATCCTGCTCTTCAAGTCAGTTGTTTTTTTTTGTACCGGGGATTGAACCCGGGTCCTTGTGCTTGCAAGGCAGACGGCAGACCCACTGAGATAAATCCCTGGCCCACAAGTCAGTTAAAAAAAAAAAAAAAAAGAATTAAGAAAAAGTCAAAGCTGGGACCTGTGATACATGACTATGGCATGGTGTGAACTGGTGATGCACTCTGGGAGGCTGAGGCACGAGGGTCAGAAGTTTGATCCCAGCCTGGGCAACTTAGCGACTGATTGAGATCATATCTCGAAATAGGGGGCTGGACATCCTGCTAGCTGACTGTGACCCAGCTGGAGGTAATGGTCCCATGCACACAATCAGAGCAGAGGCCAACAGCCACCACTTTGGGGTGAGAGGGATCATGGGAGGAGTGGCCTGTCATTCTACTGCTGGGGCTGGCAGGGTCTGAAGTGTGGTGTCAGCATCACTCCTAGGGCTCTGCTTGTGGCAGCCCGAAGTTCTTTCACCCATCTACCATTTAGAGAGAGAAAAAAAAGCGCACATCATTGCTAGCATTCACTTGATTTCACATAAACACGCTCTTTGGGGCTGAAGCAAATCTGACTGGTTTTCAGTGTGGAAATAAAATATAAAAATTCTTCTTGGAGGTGTTTCTTAACAGAACTTGTCTCTGATTCTAATGTAATAATGATACTAAAATAATAAATGTGAGCTATTTTGTGGCAAGCTTTGGGGGAGTGTCTAGGACTTATTTGCAAGTGTTCTTTTTTTTTCTCTCATTGAGTTTATGGATACATTTTAGGTATACAGTACAGTTACATTCATTGTTGGATCTTGCACCTTTACATGACAGGTCTTGGTTCTCATTTTTTCCCCTTGTCCCTACAATCCCTTCACCCCCTCCTCTCCTCCCCATTTACAAACATTTTATTTCCATTTTTTCATTTTCTCCTATTTTTTTCCTTTCCCTTATTCCCTTTCCCCCATCCTTCCCACTTTCCCTACAACTTTAGCCCTTTTCTTCCTATTTCACATTGTCAATTATCTCATTAGGATCTTATGTACTATTATAGTTTTTCACACCAGAGAAACTATTTGGTATTTACACATGTGTGACTTATTTCACTTAGGAGTATATCCTCAATATGTATCCATTTTCCTATGAATGACTCTAATTTCTCATTCTTTATGGCTGAGTAGCATTCCATTTTACAAAAAAAAACGCATCTTCTTTATCCAGTTTCCAACTGATGGGCAAATGGGCTGTTTCCCACTATCACCACTCCTCTTTGATATAGTTCTGGAAACATTAGCCATAGCAATTAGACAAGAGGAAGAAATTAAAGCAATAAAGATAGGGAAGGAAGAAGTTAAACTGTCATTATTTGCTGACGAAATGATACTCTACATTAAAGACCCAAAAAACTTGACCAAAAGACTTCTAGACTTAATTGACACTTTTAGCAGAGTAGCTGGATACAAGGTCAATACCCAAAAATCAATAGCCTTCTTGTACACAACTAACAGACTCACTGACAGAGAAATTAGGCAAACAATTCCTTTCACAATAGCATCCAAAAAAATTAAGTATCTAGGAATCAATCTAACAAAAGAAGCAAAAGACTTATACACTGAAAACTACAGCACTCTGAAAAAAGAGATCAAAGAGGATATAAGAAAATGGAAAGACATCCCCTGCTCTTGGGTTAGGAAGAATCAACATAGTGAAAATGGCCATACTACCAAAACTGCAAGGGTTCTAAGAGCAAATTGGAAGTGGGTTCAGGCGGACTTCAAGCTCTGCTTCTATGCCCAATCTAAAGGGGACGCTCTGGTTCTCCTCAGTCTCCCTGCAGCCCGACGGAAATTTCCTCCCCTGGTATTCTGGCTGCAAAGGCCCCACACTGGTGGTCCTAAGGTGCTCTCTGAAGCCCGTGGGTGTCAACCTAGATGCCCGTCAGCTTTTTCAAGTCACACAGCCATATCCACCAACACTAGAGTCTGAGAGTGGGCTGGGCATCCCCAAGCTGGAGAAGGAAGGAAAGTGCTTTGGAGCCACGAGTGCAGCTGGGGATTTGGGCAGATGAGCCATGCTGACCAGGTGAGGTCCACCTGTCAACAGTGGCACCAAAGGTAGAGAACAGTGTATGAAGGTAGAGCATGCTAGAGTATGGTGACACACTCGCTGTGATAACACGGTCAGACAGTAATGACAGTGATAAGGAGATAGTTTCTGGGTATGCTACCAAGCATCTCTTCCTCCCATTCCATCACAATGTGTGACTGAGCAGGGAGCTCACATGGTCAGGACTCTGGGTCCTGGGCAGGGAAGGCCCTGTGTCCACACAAGGCCCTGACACAACAGCCCCATCACGGCCAGCTAAAAAGAGGATGCAGCAGGCCGGGAATTTAGCTCAGTGGTTCCACTGCTGGCCTTGCAAGCACAGGGACCGGAGTTTGATCCCCGGTACAAAAGAAGAAAAAAAAAAAAAAAGAAAAGATGCAGCTTCTGGCCCAGGTCACAGACACATGTAGGTCTGAGGACAAAGTCTGGGCATGAAGACCAGAAGAGGACCATGGCCCTGGGCCATCTGCTCTCCAGTCCTAAGTCTCCCTGGGGTGACCTGGGGACCACTATAGGAAAGCAGACAGGACCCTGCCTCGATTCTCTTCTCACCATCAGAACAGGAGACTTGCAGATCATTTGTAAGGAGATTTCCAGGTTAAAACACAAGATTCTAGATAATATTTGCAGGTGGACTAAGCATTCAGGAAAACACCATGTTTCCTGAGGGGATGGTGGCACACTCACGGGTGATGTGATCAGGGCAGCCTCCTGTACCAGAGTTCTCCAAGCCCCTGCCAGGAGGAGCAGGAGAATGAGCCAGGATACAGGACACACAGGGCTCCTCAGGGGTGTGTTCAGCCTCTACCACTCATACCTCTCCGTGTAAGGCTTGCATTTGGGCGTGAGGCCCTCACTGGAGATATCTTTCTTTTTAGTATCAGGACTGAATTCTGGGTCTCTGTACAAAGATATATCCCCAGACCTTAAAATTTTCTTAAATTTTGAGACAGGGTCTCACTGAGTCACCAAGTAGCCCAGGCTGGACTCACTTTGATCCTCCTGCCTCAGCTTCCCAGAGTACTGGGACTACAGCTGCACACAGTTGTACCCAGCTCTCCCAGACGCTGCATGCCTTTTGACCTCAGGGAAGCATCAACCTGGCCCAGGGCTGGTGGGGTCTGGCTTCAGAGGGCACATGGCAGACAAGAGAGGAATGACCAGTCAGGTCTCCAGCATGTGGTCGGCAGTCAGAGCACCAGCAGGAACCCATGTGTGGCTGAGGGCTTCCTGGGAAGCTCTTCCTTGGAGGTCTGCAGCAGGGCAGGGGGACACTTAGATGCCAGAGGCTCTGCCATTGTGGGGACACTACGCAAACAGAGAACTCCAGGAAACAGCTCTGCATGATGCTTTTACAAATAAAACTCTAAAACAAAGAACTATGACAACCTCAGATTGTTTTTAACCTAAAACATATTCTATTAAATATCATGTACTGCCAGAACACCTCAAATGAGCCCAGGTGGCTATGGGCACCAAGTGTAGTGCCGAGCAGCAGTGCAGGAGGGCCACATGCACAAGTCACATGGGGAGGGTGCACAGAGGGCTACTCCGAGCAGCCTGGAGGTGGAGGGCCAGGGCCTCTGAAGGCAGTTACCTACCTATCACTGCTCCTGGCCAGACCACCAGCTGTTTGAGGCCAAGCCACCGACAAAATGACATCACTTCCTGCTCAGGAGGAAGTGGACGGCCATTGTACAGGGAGGA